TGCCGATATTAAAACTCTTTTCATTTAATTGTGCAGAAGATAGATCCTCCTCAGCCATCAGGTGGTAAATATAGAATAGCTGATGTGTAGCTCTAATTTGTTCCCTGGCAGGCCTCCTGCAGCTCTGAATAATTAGGGACCAAGACACTCTGGAACGAAGGAGACAGGAAGTAGAAACAGGGAGGCAGGACAGAGGGTGGGGACCTTGCCTTGTCAGGAGGTCACAGGTCAAAGGGAGTTGGACCTGCAGTCTTGACCTTGAAAGCTCACCCATTTCTGCAAGGTCAGTCATTTCTCTCCTGAACCTCTCATGTCACCTGGTGACCGAAGCCCTGCAATGCTGCATGAGAATCAAGAGCTCTTGAACCAAGTGTGAAGAAGTGGTGTGGTCCTATTGTGAAGACCATTTGGGACTATGCAGTCTCCCACAGTTAGACCACCAGGGAGGGATGGTTCAGATAAGCCCCTCACTCTTTCAAGGGAGATCTGCTGGATCTCTGTGACAGTCACCCAGGAGCCCCCCAGAATCATAGCTTTTCCATACACCAAGACCCTTTGGGATGAATGATTACAATCACCTTACTTGGTGGCCACAGGGTTTCCCAGCGAGGCAATGCGTTGGTGACAGAGGCCTGGCAATCTAATGTCTAGGCCAGGTGGGAATGCTGTGTGGAACACGGTGGCCCCGTGTGTTCTCCTGGTGGGGTAAGGACAGCAGCATCTCAGCAGGGTGCCAGGAGCCCTCAGGGTCCTTCCCCACTTACCCGGTATGGGCGGGGTCCTAGCGACCTTAGAACTTTCCACAGAGGGAGAAGGCATCCTCAGAGGAGATACTGGTCTCAGGCCTGACTGAGGCCTGGCTGCAGTTTCCCAGCTCAAATTCTGGGACCCTCACCCCCTTGCTCTGGAAACTAGGCCACCTACTCTTTCTCTCTGAAGTATGCTGAAGCTTCTCCTTGGCTACCATGCTCACCTCCCCACACCTCTGAGCTTCTCCTGTAAGACTCTTGGTTGAGCTGAGCTTCCTAGTTGGTCTTGATCTCCCGTCAGAGGCTCTGTGGTCCCTCAGCTCCCGATCCCTCCCTATGTCCCCACCCCTCACTGGCTGGTGGGGCCGTTCCTCTTCCAAAACTGGAAATCTCAGGCAGCTTCTTCCTTCTACTGCCTCAGAGTAAGTCTTAGGTGTAGTAGTATTTCCTCAGTGATCCTTTCTCCTGACTGCTGAGGATTCTTGGGGCTTCACCACCTACCAGTCCTGCATCTTAGGCCCCTGGGGATTAGTCTGTGTGCTCTGACTCTACCTGTAAAACCTGCTAGCCTGGCTCCCTCATCCTTCCCTGAAGTTGAGTTCTTCCTTTTCTGTCTGCTGAGCCAGGGTCCTTGGGCAAGTAGAGGGGACCCCTAGTGCCTCAGCAGCTCTGAACGCCTCAGGGTGACTGTTATAGCTTGTGTCTAGGTGTCCCCCAAAATGCCTCATGCAGTCATAGGTGGGGATTTTTCACAAGTGACTGGGTCTAGAGTGTGTGATGCTGGAATTGATTCATGTTACAATGCTAGGATCAAGGGCACTAGGATTAAGGGTGTGAGTACTTCCTGCCCTAAGTAGCCTGGATAAAATATAAGGCATAGAAAGGGCTGTGGTCATCTCTTGCTTGCTCATACCTGCCTGCTCACCATGGACTATTTCTCCTCTGCCACCCCCCTCTGCCATGTGCCACCCTGCCTTGAAGCCAGCTGATTATGGACTGAAACCTCCACAACTGTGAGCTAAATAAGCCTTTCCTCCTTTAACTTGGGGCGCTGGGTATTTTGTCTCAGCAGTGAGAAAAGTAAGTCAGTGACCAAGGTGGTTTCTCAGACTCTGTCCTGGGATAGCCCTTGTGTCTCTTCCTTCAGCACTTGGCCCAAGCCTGCTGACCTGTAGGGTACTCTCTCCTGTGGCTTCTCCATTTTCAGAACAAACACAGCAGGGCATGCCAGACCAGATGGCTGCAGTCACAGGCCCCTGTGTGTCAGGGCCAGACTGGCCTGCAGAACTGCCCGGTCCTCTCTCGTCATGTGAGGAAACTGAGGCCCCGAGACAGAGATTAGAAGGACATACTCACCCAGTCTCATGGCTTAATCCATCCTACTACCCTGACTGCAAGCTGGACTCCAGATATATCTGCTCCTGTAGTCAGAATGACAGGCAGCATACAAGGGTGAGGGTCGGGATGAGAGGGTGCCAATTCCAGCTCTGCCCTCTGCCAGCTGTGTGATCTTCAGCAAGTCATCCAACCTCTCTGAGCAATATTTTACTCATCTGACAAATGAGGATAACAGTGGTATCTGCCTCGTGTGATGCCATGAAAGCCACTGACATAACCCTCCCAAAGCCCCAGCACAGCATCTGGAAAGTGGTAAGTGATAATTAGCTATCACAAAAATTCAGCTCCACCGAGTCGCAAACTTTCCCTCAAACCAGTGTGAACCATAATGAGTATTAGCTATTCAAGCAATGAGCAGGCATTTAATTTACTCCCTCAGAAAATTGAAGGGTTGTGTGTCAAGGGACTGTTTGGATGGCTTTTCCAGAAAAAGAAGGTTGCACAGATGTCTTTCCCTCTGTAGATGTTTCCCAGTGCAGGGTAGGGGTGACAGTCATTCTGCCTCTCCTGAGACTGTTCTTCAGAAGCAGACAGAGCCACTAAAGTCTGGCTGCTACTCTTGGAAGGCCCCAGAAGCCCAGCGTGGCCCTGACCTCTACCCGCCTTCCCTCTGGCTGCACAGTGGAGCACTGTGGGAACCTGCTCCGTGTCCCAGGAGGCTTTGGGGAGATGCCTGCACCCCGGGCTCTGGTCTGGGCAGGGTACCATGCAGAGACACAGAGATGCTGATGGTCCACGGCCAGTGCTAGATGAGACTTGCTCACCTAGGGCGCAGAATATGGGGGTGACCCTAAACTCACAGTGTAATCATCCCCTTTATCTATGGGGATCATTCCAAGAACTCAGTGTATGCTCAAAGCTCTATGTATACTATGTTTTCCTGCACATACGTACCTATGATAAAGCTTAGTTTATATATCAGGCACAGTGTGAGATTAAGAACTAACAATAAAGACAGAACAATTGCAACAATGTTATAAGTTATGCAAATGTATTCTCTCTCTCATCTCTCACTGTACCGTGCTTCTCCTTCTTGGGATGAGCAGTGATGATATAACACCGACACGATAAGACAGAGGCAAATGACATGGGTATAGCGGGGAGCTATTTTGTAGGGGATAAGTGGACACAGCTCAGCAATACAGTGATGCTGATCCAATAACTGAACCACCCACCAAGTGGCTAGAGGCCCTGGTAGTGCATGCAGGGTGGACATATTGGACTGAGGGACAATTCGTGTGTGTGGGGGTGGAGCTAGAGCTGGATGGCACAGATCTCATCACACCCCACCCCAGAGTAGCAAGCAATATAAAATGCATGACTTGCTTATTTCTGGAATTTTCCATTTCATATTTTTGGGCCAAGGATGAGTGGTTGAACATGGGTAACTGAAACTGGAAAGCAAATGTGGGATACTACTGTAATCAAGACAAATAGCATTTTGTAATATTTTTAAAGATGAAATTTGACTTTTAAAATCCACAATAAACAAAATACCAATCTTTTAAATGAAAGCAGCCTCTGCTTCCGCAACTGCAGGGCCCTGATGGCAAGTGCACTGTGCAGTACCTGCAAAGCCCCCTCTGGGGGAAAGGGATGCAGGCAGAGGAATGTTGGGGAGAAGCCCTGAAGGTTAATTCTGCTGTTCTAAAATAAGTAACAATGAAGGGCTGAGGTTGAAGGGAGAAGGACTGGGGGTGCTGTGGTGCATCTGTGAAGGGCTATACGCAAATGGACAGGCGCCCCCATCTGCCAGGGGAACCAACATCCTGCTTTTCCTTCTTCTGCCCTCTGGAGCTTTCTCTGTGGGCTCATGTGGACAATCCAGGGACGTCCAGGTGATTGGCCAACACAGTAAGTTACCTTGATCCTCCAGGGCTCTCAACTCTAGGTCTTCACATTCCAGACCTCCAGGCCCAGCCCAGGTCAACTCTCTGTCCTTCACAGTCCCTCCGGTCCTGGGATCTCTCTGACCATTCACTCTATAACCACACTTCTGAGAACCTGCCACGTGCTAAGCCCCATTATGAAAACACAAGCCTTGAATTAAAAACATGGACTTTAGGGCCGGGGATTTAGCTCAGTGTTTCTGCTGCCTACCTCGCAAGTGCAAGGTCCCAAATTTGATCCCTGGTACCAAAACCAAAACAAAAACATCTGTAATCTCAGCACTCTGAGAGGCTCAGGCAGGAGGATCACAAGATGGAGGAGAATTCAAAATAATAGCCAAATGTAATTAAAGGTGACCGTATTAGAAGGTTCAAAATGGAAAGCAGTAAACTCTGGTCCACTTTTTTCAGGTCCAGTCTCCCATCTTGGCTCTAGTCATTATAATTCTTCTGGTTGTTTCCCCTAGTGGTTAGCTCCATTATTCTCAGTAGATGTGTGTATGGGAACCTCACAATTTGGGGCATCAGCACTTGCCTTCGCACCAAGGTAAATAAAACGTAAATCTCCCATGTCCCTGCTACTTCCTCTAACCTTCTACTTTCCAATTTTTGTTGTTGTTGAGCAAAAGCAACTGTTAAGCAAAATGGTACATTATTTACTTCTATGTATTTTATTTTTTTTGTACCAGGGGATCATGCTCTTGTCCTTGCGCTTGCGAGGCAGGAGGTGGAACCATTGAGCTAAATCCCCAGCCTGTGTATTTTATTTTTTGAGGGGCTGATGATTGAACCCAGGGCCCTAGACATACTAAGTAAATGCTCTACCACTGAGCTACACCCCCAGCTCCTCCACTGTACTTACACAATTCTTCTTTTTCTAGTTAATTACCACCTTTTTTTTTTTAATTTGCCTGATGTCTTGTATCCATTAATACTTTTTTCTAAGTGCTTCATGTTGCTGCCATTCACCTACCCAGACGGTCTCCATTCAATCAAAGGTAACCATTTTATTTCTTCCTCTCTTCTCCTGTTTTTATCTAGACTTGTGGTTCATTAGGGCCGGCACTGGATGTTCTCTGGGGGCACGCACCTTTTCATGACTCTTCTACATCTACTTGTGTCTGCTCTTTCTCTTCCTTAGTCTTTCCCTTGATCCTGGGCATACATCCTTCAAGAACTTCCTGAGAAAGGGAAATGGAAAGCAAATTTTCAGCCCTTTAATGTCTGAAAAGATCTCACACTTGATTGATAACTTCCCAGAGCATAGAGATCTAGGGTGGAAATTCTTCTCCTTAGAGTTTAAAAATTACTGCTCATTGCCTTCTTGTGTCCAGACCCGCTAGAGAGCAACCTCTGATTTCAGTCCTCAGGAACTGGGTTGTCACCTTGGGAGCTCCTAAATTCTCTTCTTTATACTCTATAATTTTTTTTTTACTACTGATATTGAGCCCAGGGACTTCGCACTGCATTATAGCCTAGGACCTTCTGATTTTGAGATGGTCTTGATAAATTGCCAAGGCTGGGCTTGAATGTGTGATCTTCCTGCCTTAGCCTACCAGTGGGATGGGATTACAAGCTTGTATGACCACAGCCAGCTTATTCTTGTTTGTGGATCTCTTTTTATTCACTGTGCTGTGTACTTGAGTGAATCTTTTCATCCAGAAACCATATCCTTCCATTCTGGCAAACTTCAGCATGTAATTTCTTTGATAGTTTTGCCTTCATAGTCTCTGTCCTCATTTTCTGAAATGCTTTTTAGCCAGATACTGGACTCCCTAGAATGGAGCCTTAGATTTTGTTGGTAATTTTTTTTTTACCTATGTCCCATTTTGTTTTAAAAATTTCTTTATTTTTTTTCTTTTTGACACATAATATTGCTAAATTGCCTAGTCTGATCTCAAACTTGTGACTTTTTTTTTTGTCTCTGTCTCCAGAGTAGCTGGGATTACAGAGATGTGTCATTGTGTACAGTATCCTAAATTTCATTTTCTTCATATGTTCCTTGTACTTTAATTTCTACTTTTCTATTGATTTTTAATCAGTTATCATTCTTGGATTTTTGTTCATCTGATTTCAAGAACACATTTCCATTCTCTGTGCTGTCTTCAGACCTTCTGATGTTGATGCCATAGATATATTTATATATTTACATTTTATATTAAATTAAGAATGTTAATAACAGTTTGTATTCTTGTGGCTGGCATTTTTTTCTGCTCCTAGCATTGTCTATTTTTTCTGTTATTTTCTGCTGTTTGTATCTCCGCATCTGATGTTGGAGGATTTTCTCAAATGTCTAGTGATCTGGGCTTGCCCATTGTGTGTAAGAGATGCTGACTGAAAGCCCTGTGGGCATGGGCAGGGCTGAGACACTGACAGGCTTCAGACAAGCTGCCTTTCTGTCAGACTTTGTTGCTCCTCATGGTTTCTTAAGGTCTCCTGAGAAGAAGCCAGCCTCCTGCTTGGGTGGGGGCCACTGGTCTCCTGGATTTCAGGAGGAGAGAAGGAGAAACCCCTGTGAGATATTCTGGAAGGGAAACCCACAGGGTTTGTATTTCCTGTTTGTTTCATTCTTAGTTTTCTATGCACCTACCATGAGTTCATCTCAAACTCTCCAAACAAAGCCCCCAACTGATTTCAATTATGCCAACCCTTGCAAATAATCTATCAATTCAAGATTCTTTCTTTCTTTCTTTCTTTCTTTCTTTCTTTCTTTCTTTCTTTCTTTCTTTCTTTCTTTCTTTCTTTCTTTCTTTCTTTTTGGAGATGACCCCTTTATTGCCTCTTGCTCCCACTTGGAAGGACTGTCCTTTTAGTCTCCTCCCTGTTAGTTGTTCTAGAACTCCCTGTCCACACCTCCCTGAGGATTTCCTTGTCCTCTCTACCAGCTGGCTCTGCTGAGAATTGAAGACAAGGTCTTTCTATCTCTTTGGCCAGCTTATTTGTTTTGGTGCAGCACATTTCCCAGGAACTGTCTGAGAAACACACGTAGGAGGTAATTTTGTGAATACTTATATATGTCAGAGTAGGTATTTATTTTAGCTTTCATATGCTCTGTTTTATTTATGTGATGGATAGTTTGGTTAGGTATGAAAATCCAGGTTGCAAACAAGTTTCTATCAAAGATTTAAAAAATATTGTGCGGCCCTCTTTAAGTTTCCTATGTTGCCATTCAAAACTTGGATGTCATTGTAAGTTGTATCCTTTGTACATCATCCCTCCTTCTGTTTCTAATTTTTTTCTGTCTCTGATGTTTTGCATTTCATGATAGCATGACTTGGCATGGATCCTGTTTGATTTGTTCCATGATTCATGGTGTTTTCAAAGTAGGGACTTAAGTCTTTGTTTTTTTTTCCTCATTGAGTTTATTGGCACATTTTAGCTATAGAGTACAGTTACATTCATTATTGGGATCCTGTACCTTTACACCACAGGTCTTGGTTCTCATTTTTTCTCCTTGTCCCTGGGGACTTAAGTCTTTGAATTCTAGAAAATCTCCTGCCATCCCTTCCATGCTCTCTGCTCTCACTTTCTGGAACTCCTGTTAGGAAGATATTGAACTTTACATTTGACGCTCCTATTGCGTGTATTTTCTCTCTCCTTTCTTAACTTGTTTTGTTCTGTGTTTTAAAAAGATGTTTTTGATTTAATCTTCCAGCCTCCCAGTGAAGGCTATAATATTTCCTTTTTTACTTCTCAAGAACGTTTGCTTATTCTGGATGCTCATTTTAAAAATAGCATTCTGTTTTCTTTTCCCCTTGTGCATTCAATATGCTTTATTAATTTCCTATGAATATTAGCTATACTTTTGGCATTTTCCACCACTTACCTCTGTTCCCTCTAACTCCTTCCTGTTTGATGCCTCCACCCTTCCCTCTCCTTTCTCATTCTCTTATGTCAGAGGCCTTTCTGCTGTGTCTGGGACCCTTAGCAGAGGTTATGTTTAAGGCATAGGCGACATCGTCTGATGGGAGAGTCTGTGCATGGACAGATAGAGTTTGGCCAGCTGCCGAGCTCAACTCTATCTGAAGCTCTTTCCTCTTGGATTAGTTAGTTTTTCCAGAGGGATCTTCCCTAAATTCCTTCTGGGGATGTTTAACTTCTGCAAGTGGAGTGGCAGCTGGAGGTTGAGGTCCTATCCTCCGCCCTCACTTTCAGCACAGTGCTTCACCCCCTACCCCACCTTCTAGCCCCAGACCTAAGCTCAGGGTTAATTTTTCCTGAGAGTCAACTTCCCCTGCTTGATTAGGTGGCTAAGAAATATGGGGGTCAGGGACACTTCCTCTGTATTCTGCCTCCCTCCTGCTGTCAAGATTAGACATTTTTCATCCTGAGCCTTTGGACATCAAAGAAGAATCCAGCTTGCTTCCTGCTGCCTCCCCCAGCCCTAGCCCTAGGCACTGACTTTGTTGTTATTCTCACTTGTCCCCTCTCTTTGTCTTTTTCTTTTCTGTCATTTTAGTGGGGGCTTTAGAAGGGTTGTTGAAGGGAATATAAGTGAGAGTGGTCATTCTACAGTGTAAGTCTCTTGACAGGGCTCCACGGACAGGCTGGCACCTCTCCTTGCTGTCCCTGGTTCTTCTCCTGGATTTCTCCCCAAAGCCCAGATCCCTACATTCATGTACTCTGGACATGCTTCCTGTTGTGGACCACAGGCCCATTGGGCCCAACACACCTCTGACTGAGGTCTCCTCCTTCTTTTCCTCCAGTGTCCTGCAGGACCAGGCTTTGTGCACCCAAGAGGACAGGCAGCCACCACATGTCCTGAATCCTGCATCCCCTGGAATCCAGCTCTCCCTCCCCTCCCCACCCTAGCCAGTTTAGTCCAGGAGTCATGTCTCACCTCCACAGCAGCTCTCTTTCTTGGTCTGGCTCAGAGAGATCTCACTCCATCCAATCATGAGGCTCATCGCCAAGTCACAGGAACTTCTCCCATCTGGGCTCAGAGAGATGGAGCCACCTCAGTGAGGATCTGAGGCACTGCAGCCTTTTTCCCACCGCTACCTCTGTCATTGTTCTCAATTATCTTCCCCCACCCAGCCATGTCTCTAAATTCAAGGTCACCTCCTGATACTTGTCCAACGCATCCCTTCTTCCCACGTCCACCACCCCTGGCTGCAGGAGGGTGGGGTTCCGTGCGGCTGGTCTGATGTCTCATCTGGCTGTGTTTTATTTATAACCAGTGCTGGGCGGGAGTGAGACAGAATCAGAGGACATTGAAGAGCAGACACTTTGGAAAGTCTCTCTGCTCCATGCCTCAGTTTTCTCATCTATAAAATATACCTGAAAATAACACTAGCTCACTACATTGTCTTACACTTTAAAGTGGTGCAGACCATAAGTGCTTAGAACTGCCTGGTGCACATGGACCTTACAGAAGCCTTGCCCCTTATTACTCGTAGGGTCTAGGGGGATCTGCTGGGTGGAATTGTGTCAGATGCTAGAGGTGGGCTGTCCTCTACACTCGGATCACTGTGCCCTCTAAGCTGGCCTCCCTTCCTCCCTGTCTCCCTTCCACACCCTCTGCAGAGCCCTCTGCTCTACAAGGTCATCCAGGCTTAAAGGAGTCCAAACCTTTCATGTTTGGCGCCTGCCTACTTCTGTCTCCTGAAATCACATGTGCACATGTATGCTCCTATGCATGCACACAGAACACACAGATACACACAATGCACACTTAGATGCACACTGCATGCACACAGATCACACATGCAGGCACACAGAGTACAGGAGTCTGCACACACACGAATATACACATGTGCACACTTGCCACAGGTGTACGCACACAAATGCCTTCCCATGGCTCCCTGTGCTCCAGGAGGCTCCCCCCTCTAGGCTTCTGCTCCCCAGGCTCTCTAGCCTGGCAAGCTACTGCTCTGGCTCTCTGCCTCATGAGGTATTCTTGCTGGCCTTGGCTTGGTTGTCACCTTTCCTGCAGTCCTTTTCTATTCAGCTACCTCCAGTGCAGGAATCTGTGGCCCTGTCATGTGTCCCACTTTATTACTCTCCTGAAGTTTCCCAAGGAAGTGGGAAGACATCTACCCATGGCACCACAGTGGTTGCTTTACCTGTGTTTTTCCCTTTCAGACAGCCAGCACCTGGAGCCCTACTTGGGTTTAGGGATGGATTTCAGCTCTTTAGGACACAGTGACTTTTAACCTACAAAGGCAGCAGGGTCTTTGGGGTAGTGAGGTTCACAGGCAGAGAGAACTTTTCCAGGTAGTTTTCAATGGTGGGGGAACAGGGAATAGGAAGTGAAGTGGGAGGATTAAAAGCACCAGAGAGGGGATTGCCTGTCTGAAATCACACAACCTGCACCAGGCAGAACTAAGAAGCTTGGACTTGTAATGAACCTATGTCCCAGGATTAAAGCTGATCCTCTGTGCTGCAGCATACCCTAACCCTCAGGTTCTGCTTGCCTGCCACCCCTGAAAAGACACAGACTGGATGGCTACATAGGGAACTCCCAGCACAGCTGTGGGCTGATGGAGTGTGCAGGGAAACTGCACAGCCTCAGGGAGGAAAGTGCGGTCTCAGAACATTGGCACCCCTCTCACCTTCTGCCTCTGGTCCAGTGCAGATCCCCAAATTCCCAGTGTTCTTTCTTTGGCGGGGGGATGCAGGGCAAAGTGAAGAAAATGGAATATCTGCCTTCCTTGCGGTGGTCCGGATGCTCAGCTTCTGTCCCCTTCCCTGCTAGCCTAGGGTGAGTTTCCATTGCTGTTTTGTTTTCAGTGTTTTTGGCATCTAGGGTGAACTCTAGTTGTCATGGTAACTCCAGCTGAGGGAGGGAAGGAGAGGGCCCGCGGGTGGAATGTGTTGCACTGTCAGCTGGTTCTCCAGGTGGAGATCTGAAGAGGACTAAGACTGGTGTTCTAGAGAAAGCCACTCAGCCAGCACCTTGGTGCCCTCTTCTCCCCTTCCCAGCCCTGCTCCGTGTTGGCTTCTAAACCCTGTGCGAGTTCATCCTCTGGGGTAAGTCATGGGCAGGTATGCAGAGTTCTGGGTCTAGAGAGGGGGAAGTCAGAGCCCTGAGAGGAACAGCAGTGCACCGGAGACCCACATGGTACCACACCTTGTCATGCCAGTGGGGCAGGACAACCTCCTAGTGCCAGAGAACCCACAACTTCATCTTCAGCAGCCCCAGGCCAGGAAGTCCCTCCAGAGCACAGGAGCTGGCATTGCTTGGTAAAACATTTTCCAGTGCTTCCAAGGGAAGAGTCTCCCTTGACCATTTTTTTAAAAAAAACAACACATACCCTTTCATCTTTCTAGATCAATTTTTAATTTTGGATAGTAATAAGAGGACAGAGAAAGTTTTCTACTAAAATCACAATGCAAGCCCACCCAGTGATAGATGGCAGCTGTGACTGTGGATGGGGAGGGATAGAGACTGGTAAAGACTGGCCAAGAAGCAGGCATGTGTCCTGGATGAAGGGCACTACCCATGACTGTCACCATGTGGCCATGCTGGCTCAGTGCTGCTAAGAAGCTGGAGTTTGGATTATGTGAATTTCCTGAGTTTTTACCCTCTTCCTTACTGTGGTTCGTGGTCCTATTTCCTGCGCCCACCCAGACCCAGGGCTTCTCAAGAATGCAGATGAGGAGACGCTTGTCATCCTTCTGAAGGTTAGGATGGGCCCATCCTTTACAGTGATCTCTTTTGCCTCATCCTGCTGCACATGGACTCATGGAGGGCAGATATGTGCCCAGCGAAAGACTCTGGATTAGTGGTAGGGCTACAGCGAGAGGTGCAGAGGTAGCCTGGGCAGATAAACAGAAGGATGACCCAAGAATGCATCTGCTCCTGGGCGAGCATGAAAATTACCTTGTCCCATCAAGTTCAGAAAGGACCATGGGGACCTAAGAATGCTAAGAATTTTACCTCATATTTTTGGGCCTAGGCACCAGAAAGGGAAGGGGTTGGGTCCATTGAGATGCAGTATTAGTTTTTGCACCTCACAGCCCTTTTCCATGTTACTGGAGACATTTGCCTGCTGTAGTAATGAAAAGTTGGGCAGGTCTTATTTTTTTCCCATTCACTCCTAGGCCACAAACAATGCTAACTAAAGCATCAAGATGGATTTAATAGCACATCTTTCCCTCTTCCTTGACTCAGGTCTGGAGCCTGCTGAGGATAGGGGAGGGTGGCTGGCTTCTTTGCCCTCCTTGATCTTTGTTCCTCTTTAGTCACCCTCCAGATTAGCTCCACTTGCTAGTGGTTCTTGACCTTTCCTGGGTGTGCGTGGGGTGCTGATCAGGGAGGAGGAGTCTCGCTGGAAGTGGCTTTGCACCCTCTGGCCTGGCAGCTGAGTAAGGCTGGCTCCTTCTCCACATTACCCGGGGGCATCTCTATTCCAGGCCCTGGAGAAGGAGATGACATCCATCAAGAGCAGACCTGCCAATGGCAGCTCAGCACTCAGCCCCAGAAGTTGGCATTGCCTGAGGAACTTGATTTGTGTCAGATGCCTTATGCCCTGGTCGCTTACTTGTGGTGTGACTTTAAGTCCAGCGAGGCCTCTCTTGTTCCTAGTTTCCTCATCTTTAGAATAAACGTATAAAGGTTGATACCAGGCATAAAGTTGCTTCCTCTTGGCAAGGAGCAGGTGGGTCCACTCAGGGGCAGAAGTAGGCAGGAAAAGGCAGAACTCCTGCCCTTATCTGTGTGTCCTCCCTGGAACTGACACCATCAGCAAGAGGAGCAGATGGGCACCACTGGGTGGTGACACACAGGGACCTGAGGAAGAGGCATGGCCAATGCTAGCTTAGCTGGGTCTCTGGACTTCCTCATCTTCATCTTCTGTTTCCTACCTTCCTTACTTGTTACGCTGATGGGGAGCTGGCCATGGGTGAGGGGAGGACCCCAGAGGGCCAAGTCAGTGCCTGGAAGTAGAGTGCAGAATGAAGGGTCCCACTGGGAGCTGGTGTTGGTGTTGGGAGAGGAGGATTGGCTGTGGGAGAGAGGATGGAGGACCCCTGGGAAGGTGGCCTCTGCTATTCCTCATCAGTGCTCCTGATACCATGGGGGCAGGGTAGAGATTGGGCAGGGGGCAGGAACATCACCGAGAGGCCCTGCTCCCGCTTCAAGTCTCAGCATCAGTGTCACAAAGGGTGAGAAGTCACACTGGCAGGTGAGATGGGTCAGGTGAACATTTCCAGGAAATTCTCATGCTCTGTATGGCTTCCAGAGGGCAGGCCCACCCCGCAGAAACCCACTGGCCTCCATGGGAAAGGGCCACGGTGCCCATCTCCTTTAGTGTCTAGCTGTGTTCTTGTCACCCTGGACCCTAGCCCAAAGCCTCAGGCCTGGCATAATGCAGCCCTTCCACTTCTGTTTGCTGGGTGAAGGGGTGGATGCTCTCATGGGAGGGGTGGGAAGAGAGAGCAAAGGATGGGTATAGGTGTGGGTCTAGGCCAGGGTGCAGGAGATTGGGTGGGGGTGCAGCTCAAGATAGAGATCTGCCTTCCTTTGTACTGCTCCAGCAGCTAGCCACTCACTCACTCAGTCTGTATTCTGCCCTGGCTTCCAACAGGGTGCTGCTTTGGCGGGGTAGGGCTGGGCAGACCTGCAGAGATGTGGACAGAGACAAGTGGAGAACAGGAGAGTCGGAGGCAGGTCTAGGTAGAGGGGGTGGGGATGGAAAAAGAGACAAAAAAAGCCACTGGGGGAGGCAGAGAGTAGCAGGGACAGGGAGAGTTTCCTCTCTCAGCCTCATTCCCTTGGCCAGACAAAATCTTAGAATCTGCCATGTGTGCCTCATGTGGGAACCACTTCCTGTTTACAGATCTACACAACACTCTGCACATGGGGTGGAGGGACTAGGAACTCTCTGGGCTGTGGGTGCCTGCTGGAGCTCAGTCCCAGGCTTGGGGCAAGGTTGAACAGAGCCACCAGGTTTATTCCTTTTGTCCCTAGTGTCTGATCATTGTGGAGGACGGCTGGGTAGTCTGTGAGGGAGCCTAGCCCAATGTGTAAGGGCTGGGATGCCTGCCTGCTGCTCATAAGCCACTGTGTGGCAATTAGCTTCGGTGCTCTCCACCCCAGGGTGCGCATCTCCAAGCGGGAGGGTGATGCTGGCTTAGGCAGCCTGCCAAGTGTGATCCTGGATGAGAACAGCAACAGTTTCCAGTGACTGGCCTCCTCCTTGGCTTTTAAAAGTATTTCCAAACTGGGGGCGGTGGCACATGCCTGTAATCCCAGGACTGTGTGAGCCGGAGGCAAGAGGAGTATAAGTTAAAGCCCAACGTGGGCAAGTAAGGAAGATCCTGTCTCAAAATAAAAAGGGCTGGGGATATAGCTAAGTACAAAAGCCCTGAGTTCAATTCCTGATACTGCCAAAACAAAACAAAACGAAACAAAACAAAACAAAACAAAAAAAAACCCAGCAATTTTTATTTTTGCTCTAATCCTTTGAGGGAGGTATTAACATCCCTTGTACAGATGAGGAAACCGAGGCTGGGGGAAGCTAGGTGGTTTGCCCAGGGCCACATGGAGGATCTAAGCTGCTAGAGAAGCTGGGACACTGAGCTGGAAGAGGCTCTTTCCAATCTGAGCTCTGGGAAGGAGGAGGAAAATCGTGATGGTGGTGGACATGTGAGGACAGGGGGAGGACAGGAGCCAAACTCAGTTCCTGCTCGACAACCCTCATTACCTGTCCCACTTATTGTGCTTTGCAGATTCTGAACAGCAGGTAGCGAATCTTAATGCCACAACTATTTGTCTACTCAAGGAGAAAATTGGTCTAAAATGGCCTGGTGCTTTCATCCCACGGTTTGGGAGGGGGCAATGCTCAGCACCTGGTGGGCAGAGTGAGGAGGGAGGGAACAGTTCCTGAGCCAAAGAAGGCCAACCCAGAGAGCTCAGAGACAGTTACTTTCTCCACCAGGCCAAAGCCTCCGGAGGGCTACAGACCAGGAGTCTGCTGGGGCCCTATGCCTCCTCCTGAAGTTGCAGCCACCCAACACTTTCCTCAGTGAGAGACATGGTAGAAAACACACCCAGGGGTCCCAGAGGTTTTCTTCTGAGAAAAAACAAAAGTGGTTTTCAGGCCAGGTAAGATCAATGGCTTGAAGTAGCATTTCCAGACCCTGGAGGACACACAGAGGTGGGGCTCGGAGGAGGGATGGTGGCCATTGCTAAACAAATGATACTTGAAGCCACTGGAGAGACAAGAGCGGCTGCTCACTAGGTGGGCATGGTGGGTGGTACCAGAGCCCCCTGGGTGCATCTCTAACTACACAGTTCTTTTCCTTCAGAGTTCTGGCTTTGTTTCCAGTTCAGGGGCTGCCTAAGAGTTCCTTGTGAGACCTGCCACGTCCTGGGGACTGCCTTTGTTTCGAAGAACTGAGGGGAGAGTTCAGAGGACCAAGGGATCAGTGGGGCTGGGCTCATGGTTACCACTGTCTGGTGCTGCAGAGAGGAGTGAGGGAAGCTACGAGGCCAGCAGGATCAGTGACCAGAAGGCCATGGGCCTCCAGGTCACACGTGCACCCGCAGATGGGAAAGCCTCGGTCCCAGAAGCCATGTCAAGCCTGCCATTGCTGGCACCTGTCAGGTAAATTGGGATTTCCAAGCTGGCCTGGAAGGAACGTGGGCTGCATGACTCTGGGCTCCCAAAGTCCCAGAGAGGACTTCCTTGTGTGCATGGGATGGGAAGCTGACTCCACCACATCTCTGCCTTCTCCCAGAAACTCTATCTTGAGTCTGCCTCTGCCCTCCTCTCCCTTTCCCCTCTTTCTTCCACCTTCAGAATGGAAGAGCTAGACTGTGAGGCCTGAGCATGTCCTGGTCCCTGTATTCCCTGGGGACCAGGACTCTGTCTTCTTGGAAGAACAGGCACACAAATGGCCCACAGGGGTGCTGGCCAGGGGAGTGTGACAGCTCTGAGCCACCATCTGACCAGTGATCAAAGGCCAGCACCCACTGCCATGGCTGTGATTAAGGGAATTGGTCAGTGTACTTGTGGTGGTGGTGGGGTGCTGACCGCACAACACTTGGGGCTCTGGACAGTGGCTGAGTCATCCTCATGGCCAGTGGGCCTGGAATAGGAAATGTAAATCACCTGCTTCTACCCTGCAGCGAGTCAGAATACCCCCATCCTGTGTGGCAATGAGGGTGTGAAGGTGCCATTTGAATGTACACGTTTCTTGCCTATGAGGTCCCTTGCGCTACCTGCCTGTGTCTGATGAGCTCTCCTACAGGAGCCTGTTCTTGCCTGCAGCTGAGGCCCTGCAGACCTGGGACGAGAACGGCCAACAGAGGATCCTGGACACCCAACGTACCCTGGACCAACACTTGTCTTGAGTCCTGGAGAGAGAGGTGAGCTGAGCTCCTACCTGGAGAGAAAAGGGGCTCGGGTTTCTGTTTTAGCAACTTTCATCAGACCAGTGTCCCTGAACTATAGTTTCCTTCCCCAGGGGCACTCAGATCCCATGCCTGGACCAAAGCATCACATCATCCTGAGATTCTGAGGACTGCCAGGGTATGTGCACAGACCTGAGGCTTGCTGAGGCACCATGAAGAGCAGCACAGAGCTTTAAACATGGTAAGGCTTTCAGAGAAGTCCTCCCAGTGCAGCTTTTAAATGGTTTTAGCAGCAGGGCTAAAAATCTTACCCAGAAGCTCAATGGCTGACACAGAGAAAGTAGAGTCAGTCAGTTACAGTGGAGAGAGTGGGCCCAGGGGCCCAGACTTACCCTGTCTTCCTTGCCCACCTCGTCAGCACTGGAGCACTGGGATGTCCTTCATTGACCCCTAGAGCTCTGAGCAGCACGGTGAGAAACACTGTTTTGACAGCAATCTCTTTGCAATGCTCATCCGGCTTGCCCATTTTGCAGATGGGTACACTAAGACTTACAAAGGTGGAGTGGCTTACCCCAGGTCATTTGTGGCAGAGCCAGGGACATAAAACTAGGTTCTTGCAGCCCAGCCTGGATTCCCCCAGCTGCCTGACATAGCTCCATCTTCCTGCCTGCTGATTTGATTCCAACAGCTCTGTTTGAAAGAATAATTTTATTGACCTCATTATGCATTTCAATATTCTAAACCACCTTCCATCTGCTTTGGAAGCAGGCAGAGGAAACATCATAAACGCAAACATAAAATCATTATGCTCCTTTTTGTTCAACTCTGGTCTCTGCTCCCTTGTGGGAGGAAATGAAAGAGGATGAATCTGGTCCCCCCTGGCCTTGACAAGGTCACAGGGTGAGGGGTTGGGAGCTGAGAGGGGTAGAAGTTGTGCTCCCCTTAAAAGCTTCAGGCAGGGTGGGGATGAAAACTGGCATGACCTCGTGTGCCATGTGAGTGTGGGGTATTCTGGCGAGTTGCAGGGTAGAGACACAGTAAGACTGTTCTCCCTGTCTTAGTGCTATTGTGGTGATAGACTGTCACGTAATAGCTGTGAACTTTGGCAAGTTTGGTAACACCTTTGGGCCTCAGTTTCCTCATTTCCAACATAATGATAAAACTCTAACTTCAATCAGTTGTGAAATTTATCACGTGTCAATTCATGCCCAACATTTAGCATTCCCCAGGACAATGGTAAATGCTCCGGGATGGCCAGTGAACGGTGAAGACAGGTGGAGGGTCTACCTTGGACAGCCATGGGGCCTAGAGGCAGTCCTCCTGGCTTGGACTTGGACCCGGACCCAGGAACCCTTGGTTGAATAGCTTGATTTGTTTCAGAGGACAGAGACCTGATGCAGAACACAAGAGAATTGAACTCAAATCCTTGCTCTGCCACATAAGGCATTAGGCAGGTCTGTATCTTGTCTGGGCATTGGTTTTTGCATCTGTGATGTGTGTAGCATTGCATCTGTTGCTATCAAGGACAAGGACAGACTGGCAAATTTGTAAAATGCTTATCCCTTATCTGACACATTAGAGACATATGGGGAATGTCAGTTTCCCCTCCCTAAAAGGGAAGCAGGGCCCTGGGTACAGTATCATGATGAGGATCTTCCTTTGAGTTTGGAGAGAATTTGGAGGCAGCAGCACCTGCAGCTCATGAAGTTAGAGAGGTGAGGTTGAGAGAGAGGAAATTTTGATTTTCATTTGCTGATCTCATTTCCTGGGTATGTGCTGTATCTGGTCACTGGGTCCTGGGGCAGACAGACATGGTCTCCAATAGACCCTGCCCATATCAGCTCCCAGGCTGGAGAAAACAGGAAAAAATATCCCCTCAAATGGAAACCAGGCCAGCTGGGTGTACAAAGGCTCACTGGAAGGTTATGAGCCCTTTAAGCTGGGGAGGATTAGGGTTTATTGTTTTTGTCACTGGAGTTCGAAAGTAGAAGAGTTTTAAAGTAGAAGAAATGTAGGCATGCCAGATAGCGTGACAGACATCCTGGGAGGAGGGAACCTGTGGGCAATCCAGGGACAGAAAGCCACGAGGGATGTGAAGGTCAAAGTCATAATTTTTTTCTTCCTAAAAGTCAAAGTTGTAAATGCTGCATCCTGACTGCTTTCCTGAATTGCCTCATTCACCCAGGAACTGCCTCCTTCCTGGAGGAGCAGTAAGTCTCTTGTCTAGAATCACGTCTAGAGCATGACCAATAGCTCAATTTTGAAATAAGAGGCCAGAGTTCTGTGCCACCTCAGGGGACACTACCTGAAAACTCACAGTAGGCCAGGGGAGGTTCAAAGCTGCCGGCCAGGAGCCTGAGAGGTGATGCTGGTGGAGGAGAAAGCTCCTCTCGGAGACCAGAGATGGCTCACTCCATCAGAGTCCCATGACAGATCTGAGCTGGGTGAATTCTGCAAATGACTTCTCACTAAGGAGACAGGCCTCTTCTCAGGCATGCGGCTGACATGTTTTGTTTTCCCCAGATGGGGATAATCAGCCTATTTGCTAGCTGAGCTGACAGCTCAGGCAGCAGACAGGATTGGGAATGGGAGGCCCTGGGCTGCAGGCAGCTCCCAGCTCTCTAGTGAGCAGATGCTGTCTGTGTGACCACCTCCAGCAGGTGGAGATTTCTGTTTGCCCAACGGAGTGGGGTTGTGGCACCTTGAACTCCTGAGTGTCAGAGCTAGGAGCATCAAGCAGCTTATCAGGATTCTTGCCTTGAGCTGAGCTCCGTATTTCCAGACCTTCCTGGCTGTCTGGGAAGACTTCACAACCACCCTTCCCTTACTGAGGGCCCCACCTCACCAGCTCCCCATCCCTGAGCATCCCATCCCCCAACAGATCTTGAACACCTGAGCCTGTGTAGAACTTTTCACTGCCTCAGGTGCTGGTTGAAGGGGCAGAGTCCTGGATAGCCTTGGTCTCTCCCAGGGCAGGTTCCTCTCTGAGGCCAGGCCCCAGGGTGTGGGCTGCTTGGCACTGCTAAGAAATGGGCTGAATTTAGCATCCTGCCCCAATAGGGCCTCAATATGATTATTCTGCAATCTCTCCCAGCCGACTCCGCTGTGGAGATAGTGGCTTCCTCCCATGGCTGAGCCTAGAGGCCTTGGAGAGGCCTGGTAGCTGTAGGCAGGCTGCAGTGTGGTGTTTTCTGCTCTTTTTCCTTCTCCTTCAGCTTCAAGGAGGGAAAACAGCCAGAGAAAGCCCTTCTGTAGGCTCAGTCCCTTGATCCAACACACACTTGGAGTCTACTCGTGTGGAATAGAGGGGTGACTGGCCTATTTCTAGGGCCGTGTTAACTCATGGTTCTCTGGTCATCTCAACACCCCCTGTCCTCTGATCTCAACACCCTTTTGCTGGGTCCCCAGTTGGGCCCTATGCAGAAATGCATCCATCTCTCCATACGTGCTCCATCACTCCCTGTGCATCCAGAGCCGCATCTTCCTTGGCTTAGGGGCTGCACATTTCTGGCTGCTCCTGAAAGCAAGGTTTAATAGAGGCCTTTCCTGGGAGGAATACAGTTCCTGGGAGGGGCCCAGGAGGGTGTGAGAGACCAGGCCATAGACCTGTGTGCCCGACTGGCTGTGCATTCCTGGATACAGTTCTGTGAGGCCATAGGAGGGAGCCCAGGACCAGAGCAGGGTTCTTGGCTGAGTCCTCAGCTTCTGCCACCACACTGGGTGTGTCAAAGAATCAGGCTGTCCACCCTCTGCACCTCAGCTTCCACATCTGCCTGGTGGGTGTCTGTAAAATCCTAGCAGCATGTACATGAGGTGGTGGTCCCAAGGAAGGCACCTCTGGGACCCCAGGACATCTGGCCCTCAGTAGTCATGTGCAGCAGCTTTTTTTCTCTGCGGTCTCCCGGGCAACACAGAGCTGCCTGCCAAGCCTGCTGCAAGGGCCTGGCACCCGAGCAGATCTTTAGTGCCACACAGAGATGGTTGATGGCAGGAGCCAGGGCGAGGCCCAGCCTCCCCAGCTGTCGCAGAGAGCAAATCAGACAAAGGCTGAGTTGGCAGGGGTGGGCCGCTAGGGCCAGGGGTCCTGGGAAAGTAGCTCAGAGGCCCGGGCTGCACCCCTCCCACCTTATCCTACTCGGACTTCCTTCACAGAGTGACCCCTGCTTTCCAGAACACTTCTTTGGAACTTCACAGACCTGGACCTCAGTTTCTCCATCTATTAAGGGGGTGGGGCCGTATCCCTAGCCCTCTAGACTAAGGATCTGATAAAGGCACCTAGCCTGGGTGTCAGAAGCCTATGGAAGGCAGAGCCTTCAGGTCTTTGGAGGATGTATGTGTCAAGGGCATTATTAACAAACATCTCCAGGACTGTTTGCGCCCAGGTCCAGAAGCACTTCCTCTCCTTACTCCCTCCTGCTGGTGAGAGTTCTTCTCTAGGCCAGCTTTGCTCCTATAGTCTCTCTCCCAGGACTGGCAAGCTCTGAGGCTTGAGTGGTTCTGTCTTAGATTGCAGTCACTCCTGCTTTAAGGCCACCCCACCCCCGACTTGAGTGGTACAGAAGCTGGAGCAGCTCTTGGAGGTGGGGCCAGGGGGTGGCAGTGCAGAGAAGAGAGAGTCTTGGAAACTGAGGCTTGGGCTGTGAATAGCTGGACAGGCCAAGGCAGAGGATGGAGGTGCTGCCTCACTCCATCAGATTCCAGGTCCAAGACAAAAATCAGGGACTCTTCATCCAGGATGGGTCTCATGGGTGCCCAGCCAGGCTTGTGGCACCAGTAGGGAACCCTGTGTAGTGGGGAGCTCCCTTAGGACAGAGCCCTGTCTCCGCCAGGCTGTCAGATCAGCACGGGTGTTGTCAGGTTCCACCACCCCTTTGTGCAAATCAGAAAAGGACGCCCTCTCTTGGCAGACACAGCTCTGTGCTGTGTGGCTTTCAGTCACTGACACCTCTGCAGGGTGTCGTTGAATGTGAATTGCCATCCACAGCAGCAGCCTGTCAAGAAGAAACTGGAAAGGCAGCGACTCTGACCAAGTACTAGAAGATCCGAGGGAGATTCCTGGTACAACTGCATAAGAAGGTTTGGTTCACCTTGAACCTGAGACCTGGAGGCAAGACTAGAAATGGCTGCAGTTCTTTCAACAAATACTAATTGAAAGCACCTGACCTGTGCTTGGCACGCTTCTGGATGCTAGG